CGGCAAGGAGTGGATTGTTGGTGTAAACGCCTACCGCAACGAAAAAGACGAACCCATTGAACTGCTGGAGGTTGATAATGCCGAGGTGCGTAGAAAGCAAATTGAACGCATTGAGAAAATTAAGGCCCATCGCAACGCCAAAGCCGTGGAAGAAAGTTTAAAAGCATTGGAAAATGCCGCCAAAACAGATAGTGGCAATTTGCTGGCGCTGGCGGTAAATGCCGCAAGAGCGCGCGCTACCTTAGGCGAAATAAGCATGGCCATGGAAAAAGCCTTTGGCAGGTACACCGCCACTATTCGCTCTATATCTGGTGTTTACAGCAATGAAATGAAACAAGACCAAAAATTTGAACACACCCGCCAATTGGCCGATCAGTTTGAGGCAAAAGAAGGCCGCAGGCCGCGCATTATGATTGCCAAAATGGGGCAGGATGGGCACGACCGTGGCGCAAAAGTAGTGGCCACCTCCTTTGCCGATTTGGGCTTTGACGTGGATATTGGTCCGCTTTTCCAAACCCCACGCGAAGCTGCCAAACAGGCAATTGAAAATGACGTGCATATTCTAGGGGTTTCTTCGCTGGCAGCCGGCCACAAAACCCTGGTGCCACAGGTAATGGATGAATTGAAAAAAGAAGGTCGTGAAGACATCCTGGTAATTGCCGGTGGGGTTATACCTCAAAACGATTATCAATATTTATTTGATGCCGGTGTAGTGGGGGTATTTGGCCCGGGAACGGTGATTGCCGAGGCGGCTTCAAAAATATTGGAGATCATGCTGGACGAAAATACGCAAAACTAAAGTCAACATAAATGTTTGGAAATATAAAAGACATGATGGGCAAAATGCAGGAAGCCCAAAAGCAGGTTCAGGAAATCAAAAACCGGCTAGACACGGTTCACCTGAAAGAAGGCGATGATGAAATTGTTGTGACCATCACGGGCAACCGAGAAATAAAAGACGTGGAAATTAGTGCTGACCTCTTAGAAGATAAAGACGAGCTGCAAGATAAATTGGTAATTGCCTTGAACCGCGCCATAGAAAAGGCCAACAACACACATGAAAAAGAAATGCAGGGTGCTGCCAAAGGCATGCTGCCCGGAATGGACATGTTCAAATAAATTTGAGGGCCGGGGTGCAGGCACGCCAACCGCTCCCATCTAATTCCTCATATTTCTTCACACTATGGACGCCATTAATCCCAATTTTAGTCGCTTGCCGCAGCGGAAAGCCGCTCGGGCCGAAGCGCTGTTGCCCGCGCTTACTTCCGGGTCACGTTCGGCTTTAAGCCAGGCGCTAACCCTGGTGGAAAGCAAGTTGAGCCAACACCGCAAAGAAGCAGAAAAACTGATTGGACTTGCCCTTCCGCACAGCGGTGGCGCCATACGAATTGGAATTACGGGCGTGCCAGGCGTGGGTAAATCTACTTTTATTGAGGCCTTTGGGGAGTACCTGACGCAACGCGGAAAAAAACTGGCCGTACTGGCCATTGATCCCAGCAGTGCGAAAAGCCGGGGCAGCATTTTGGGCGACAAAACCCGCATGGAAAAGCTGTCGCAAAATGAAAAGGCTTTTATCCGTCCCAGTCCTTCGGCAGGATCATTGGGTGGCGTGGCCCGCAAAACCCGCGAGTCTATTTTGCTGTGCGAAGCAGCCGGTTACGATGTGGTGCTGGTAGAAACCGTGGGCGTAGGCCAAAGCGAAACGGCCGTAAAATCTATGGTTGATTTTTTCATGTTGCTGATGCTGGCCGGGGCCGGAGACGAACTGCAAGGCATAAAACGCGGCATCATGGAAATGGCCGATTTACTGATTATCAACAAAGCCGATGATCTAGAACCGCGCAAAGTAAAACTGGCCATGGGCGAATACAAGCGGGCCCTGCATCTGTTTCCGCCCAATGCAAACGAGTGGATACCCGAAGTCCTCTCCGCATCAGCGCTAAAGGGCAAGGGCATTGAAGCCATCTGGCAGGTGGTTGAAAAATTTGAAAACCAGCAAAAACTAAAAGGCTATTTTGAAAAAAACCGCCAGGAGCAAGCGCTCAGTTGGTTTGAAGAAGCCTTAAGCGATATGCTTATGCAAGGCCTGCACGAAAACGAAGAACATAAAAAAGCCCTGGAAACCAAGAAGAAAAACGTACAATTGGGCCTGGAAGAACCCAACGCTGCCGCGCAAGATTTACTCGAAATGCTCTGGAAAAAATAAGCTAGAAATTCCTCCGCACCTCGCTTTTCAAATAGGCCAATGCGCGCTTGGTGGGAAAGTTCTCCATTTCCATAACCTTATTGAGAATGTGCTGGCGCAATTTGCTGCCGGGCGCATCGGGCTCCAATTCTTGCGCCCAACTGTTAATCATACCCACCACCGATGATTTGGCATTTACAATAAAGCTCCAGGCCTCATCGCTAATGTAAATCTGCTGAGAAAAATTGTGTTCAAACTCCTGCCGTATTTGAGCGTTCAGCAAGCTTTGATATTGACTAACCGTTAAGTTTTTACTCGAAACACGAACCAAAAGCCGGTCGGGGTTAATGCGCTCCAGGAAAAGCGACATGCGCTCATAGGCTTGCATCCTTATCGGGAGGGCACTTTTCTGGGTTTCTTTTTTGAGGAAATACGAGCGCCTACTTTCTTCATTGTCAACAAAGTTAGACAACATCATGTAGGTCATTATCAATAAAAATATTGAGGGAAGAGCATATTTTAAAATCTCCAGAAATACTTCCATGTAGAGCTTTAATCTAATTGATAGGGCTGCAAATATCGGAAAATTAAGGAATGCCAAAATCCGAAATTTGTAGATTTGCCGCCTAACGCAACAGCTTCATGAATCTCTTATCTGAGCGAATACAAGAACTTTCAGAATCGGCTACCATTGCCATGAGCAGAAAGAGTCGCGAAATGCAGGAACAAGGCATAGATGTTATTAGCCTTTCGCTGGGTGAACCTGATTTTTACACCCCCGACTTTGTAAAGGAAGCAGCCAAAAAAGCCATTGACGATAATTACTCGCACTACCCGCCCATTCCGGGTTTCAAAGACTTACGGGAAGCCATAAGCAACAAGTTTCAACGCGACAACAACCTCGATTATAAGGCCAGCCAAATTGTGGTTTCTACTGGGGCCAAGCAAAGCATTGCCAACGTGGTGCTATGCACCATAAACCCGGGCGATGAAGTGCTTCTACCTGCGCCCTATTGGGTGAGTTATTCCGAAATTGTAAAATTAGCCGGGGGCGTTCCGGTGGCTATCGAAACCTTTATCGAAAATGACTTTAAGGTAACCCAAGCGCAACTGGAAAAACACACCACTGAGAAAACACGCATGGTGATTTTCAGCTCGCCTTGCAATCCATCGGGCAGCGTTTTCACGGA